ATGGCGCATGCGATGTATGATGTGGCCATGCCACGAAGAGACCGCTTGCGAATAACAGCTTGTTTCAGCCTCGCCGCCTTCTACCCCACCGCTGCCCATGGCGGTGTATTGGCAAGCATATCGATCGTCTTGCTGGCCGCGGATGCCATCAAGATGTTGCTTGTGTATGTTCCTGATAATGTATCCTGCTGTGATCCTTCTTGAGAATTGCTCCTGCAACTTCAGTTTTTTTGTCCTTCCGGCCGCCTCTCTCAGGACATCTCACAGACAATCAAGCAGTGTCGCTGCTCCGGAACATGTTGGCCTCGGTAATCACGGTCGCAGGAAACCCACATTATGATTGTGGCTTCGGCCGGAGTGGGGGGATACTCCAGCGGATTTGACCCCACGAGCCCCCCTCCTATGAGGTCGGTGCGATCCACAAAGTAGTGGCCCTGATGCCAAGCACAAACAGAGTCGAACCACTTGCGCCAAACATTCGTTCAGCTGTCTTGCAGCACTTCGTTGTGTCTCACTGTCTAACTAGCAAGTCGCCTAAGCACTGGCTGTTCGGCTTGCAGTTGAATCACCTCGTTGTTCGCCCCCAGCCCCATGTCAGCAGCGCACGCCGCGTGGGTTCAGCAGTTTGCTTTCCTCGGTACCGGGGTATGTCGGAAACAGGCAATGAAGCGATGGCCCAACTTCCTTCGTGTAGAGCAATGGGGCTTGCTGAGCCGTCACGCCTTTGGGACGGCTGCAGCAAAGTTCATGCCAAATTATCAATTGACGTCCGGCTCAATTCACTGGCGTCACTTTATAGCCGAGAACACAGACGGTTCATCGAACTACTCCGTGATGGCCTGCACATAGAGTTTGTCACAGTTTGTCGCGTGCCTGTTTCACAAAGTTTGGTGGAGGATGTTCGTAGCCGATGCTTACAGCCTATGCGAGGTTCGGTGTCTTCTTCCATGGCCCACAGATCCAACACGGTTGCAAAAAGGGTCTGAGTGATAGGGCAGTGTAAGCCTAGGTTGAGGTCCTTGTTTTGAAACTGACGTATTCTCTTCGATCAGGTATGTTCGCCGCAGTTGGTCTTCTGCTCCAGCACTGATTTGCAATCACGTCAAATCGACACATTAAGTCAACTTTCTAGATCAGATTTTCGAGGAGATACCTTCGGACTGCCGTTGTTGCTTCCAGTGACCCCGAGACACGTGAGCGCTCACGTGCCTGCGCGGACGCTTGAGGCGGCTCCTTTGCTTTTGTCTGTTCCAAGAGCTTAGCATTGACTTAGCTGCTTTGGCAGGCCATGCCGGCGCAAGTGGGGAAGTACGACTGGTGCTATGCATCCGGCGAAGATGACAGCGAGGAGATCAAGGTTGTCTTCTCGCAAAAAGAGCAGATACCAGTGGCCGAATTGCTGTTTGTCGAGTTGCTGAGGGCAAACTGGTACGTTGGTCAGGTCTTCGTCCCAATCGAGGACAGCATAAAAGCCAAAGACTGTGATGCCGCCTGCCGAGAACATGGTTTCTGTATCTTGCAAACAAAAGGATTGCCGACCATCCGTGGTCGTGATGGCGGTGTTGGGGGGGTGGCAAGTGCAAGCGTTGTTACATTGTGCTGTTGCCGCGGCTGTTCCCTCGCAAAAAGCAATATAAGACAATGTACGCAGTCCGTAGTGGAATATGCCCGGCGAACCTACCATATTTCTGAATCCATGTTTGTTTCGTCTTGCTTTCAATGCAACCTGGCTGCTTGACAGTGTTGCAATCGTTTTCGATTTCAAATTTACATCGATGCAGGCTAGGCTAAAATTCCGCTTGCCCGAGGTCAAGATCACAAAGAAGCAGCTCAAGGCTGGCGCCGGAGCCCGCCTATCTTGAGCCTGGCGCCGAACGCCGAATTTGTTGACAGGTTGGCCTGAAAGCGCAGGAGCCGATCGTAGCCAGGAGCTTGGTTGTTAAGAAGGTGTCATGCCTCCGCACACCTTGACACCTTGCCTTTGAGGATGACTTCCTGTGGAAGGAAGTCGATGCAGATGAGTCGAGCTGGGAGTTGGACAAGGACAGATTAGGATCACCACGTGAGGCTTCCTGATCACCTCACACAAGGACAGCAAGGGGAAGAGATGTATCGTCATTTCCCTCATGAAGAAGAGCAAGCCAGGGTCTCACAAAGTTTTTAAACACAGTCTTCTTAAGGAGGCGCGGTGTCCAGAGCTTCATCTGTTTCAGGTGGGACAGATGGGAGTATCTGGTGAAATGCGAGGACGTACCTCCAGACACCACCATCACCAACAAGGCAAAGCTAAAGAATGCAGCATGAAGAATCGGATTCCATCTAGTTGTGCGAATCCTGCGAAGGTCTTCTTTGACATCTCCCTAGACGGCAAAAAGCTCGGGCGAATCGTCATGGGCCTCTACGGCAAGCAGGCCAGAGACCGGCTGCATGCCCTTGGCTGCATATTGGTCTGGTCAGGTGCCGAAGACAGCGTCTGCCTGAGCTCAGAAAGCATCAAGCAGTTCCTAGGCTGGGCGCCCTGGCATGGCTCCATGATTTACTTCCGAGGTGGAAAACTTCAGAGCTCTTTGTACGGGTGAGAAGGGCGAAGGAAAGGCGCGGCATCTTGCCCGTAGATGTGGGAAGCTGTTGTGAGCTTCCATTGGCTTCCACAAGACTTTGTAAGGCCGGCAAGCCACTGCATTACAAGGCACCGTGACGTGCAGCAACATCAGAAGTTTGACGCAAACGATCTTGCCAGGGATGCAGCTTCCATCGGATCATCCCGAGATTCATGTGCCAGGCTCCAGACTGTTCCTCTCAGGGTTCCAGTCATCGATTAAGAGGATCTTGACGCTTAAGATCGCCTGGGCGCAGGGCGGGGACTTCACCCACGGCAACGGCACAGGTGGCGAGTCGATCTATGGAGCCTTACCTCAAGATGACCCTGTGGTCATGCCCCCTTTGCCTCCCCTCCCCTCACCTCCATCCCACCGAATCCCACCTTTCTTGCTAGCTTGACACGCTCTGAGCTGCACATCAGACAGCAAGCAGTTGCCCTTGAGCCTTGACCAAAGCAAGAGAAGCAAAAAAGGCGCAACTGCCCGCGAAACCCTAACTGCAAGATTATGGCTCGATGGCCTCGATGGCCCGAAGCCTTCAAGCAAGGAATTCCCGGTTGAAGGGGTTGCGTAGTGCACATGCAAGGCCCAAAGCCGCCCAAAGCCCCAAACTTTCAACGTGAGCGAGTAGGAACAGGGCCGTCAGGAAGACCCCAAGCCCCAGCCCGTAACGCCTCATCGACCCCAGAAGCTTAAAATCCCTGGCAGATTGAAGTACACTGCTAACCCACAGAGGACAGTGCCCTTGGTATGTCTGAGCTCCTAAACGGCTTTACAAACTCCATGCAACGGCGGCCGACGAATTGGATCCTTATTTCCGGCATTCTGAAATTCTGGAGTCTCCGACCAAGCCATGTTACCGGACAGAGGGAATCTCGCATCCTTGACAAACCAAAATTCCAGCCTCCCTGAAAACAACTGTTTTTTTTTTTGAGTTTCTGCACGCCCCGACGCTTACCCGCACCCCCAACCAGTAAACGCTGGAGCCTTCAAGCCCAAGACCCAAATCTGATGCCCTTCCGGTTTGTTTGCGGAATTGGCCGTCGCACGACTGGCTCGAGGAGAGAAGTTCGCGGACGAGAACTTTAGGGTGAAGCACACGAAGCCAGGGTCCGAGAGAAGGAAGGGGAGGAGAGAGGGAGAGAGAGGGAGGAGAGGGGAGGAGCAGATGTTGCCGGAGAGCTTGCAAGGCCCGGCTTGCTTAGTATGGCCAATGCCGGGACCTGAGTGGTGAGGGCAGAGGTTGGGAGAGCCCCGACCCAGAGCCTCCGACCGCGAAGGCAGGTCCTGGTACCAACGGCAGCCAGTTCTTCCTGACGGTGAAGGCGTTGAAGCGATAGCTTTCAGAGAGCCGGAAGTTGCGACTCCGCGTCGCAGGAGACCCCGCACCTGGACGGCAAACACGTCGTCTTCGGAGAGGTGCTGGAGGGCTACGAAGAGGCGCCCGGGCGTCCCAAGTGGCAGACTGCATCCTTTCCTGTACTACTAGCGTGTATGTCACCCGAAACAAACGTTCCAGGCATTTTGGCACATGGCTCTATCGTTCTACACTCCCTGAGAGTTTGGAGCTCTCTTGAGTTGAATCGGTTGGACTTGGCTTTGGGAACCCTCGGGCCCTCGGGCTTTAGCTGAGCTCCGAGTTCCGACAACTGCGGAAGTGGCGGTGGTGGAGATTTGCTTTTGCCTTGTTCGCTGGCGCAGGGCAACCTAGCTGTGGGCACCTTTTTCCAACCGACACAGCGTTGGGTTTCGTTGAAACCCAAGACTGTTGAAGACTGAAGAAGAGTACCCACTGCCAAACTCGACTAGGTCCAGGTTCCATTTATTGACCTACATCTTCGCATCTGTGTCAATCCTTGCCACATCAGGCTCCAAATTGCTTTAAGCTCTTTCGACTCATCTGGAGTCTGTTGAGGTGGTGAAGAAGATGGAGGAGGCATGGAGCAGTGCTCCCGCACAGCTTGCATCCTGGTTCCCACGGTGTGGCCCATGGCAGGTCGGAACGTCGTCCGGGACGCCGTCAAAGAAGGCCGGTGCCAAGGTTTACAGAGCAAGGCGTTGGAGAGCCCAGCGCAGGTACTCGTCGAAGACTGCGGGGAGCTCTGAGGGCGCGAAGACAGCGCCTCCCGCCTCCCCTGGATCGGCTCGATCTCTGTCGGCATCCTTGCATCTAGGCGTCCTTGCGCCTCAGTGCTTTGGCGTGAAACTCGCGCACGGGGCAAAGGCCCTCCTTAGACTCTCCATAGACTTCTTTGCTTGCGGCAAAAGAGGCAGGCTTGGAAGGGCCGTCGCAGCTCCACCGTCCAACGCTCCCCTCCAAGCTTTGGGCTCCAACTGCTACTCAAGGAGGCTGGGTCCGGCTAAAGTTGGGCCTCAACTTCACCTAGACACCCGGCAGAGATGGGTCGAAGGGCCATGGAGGTCCTTGGTTTTGTCGTTTGGGGTGCCTTGCTTGCGAGACCTGAGCACGGTTTGCCAGTGCAGCCGGAGGACTTCGCGCCTGTGCCTACGGAGGCAAATCTTGGTGCTTGCAAGCCAGACAGTCTTTGCATCTGCCTGCGATGCGAACACACGCAGAAGTCGCTTCTCGAAAGTGCTGGATGCTATTCTCATTGATCCACGGTCGTAGTTTTCCATGACAAGAATGCTTGACATTGCCGTGTCCTGGCACATCAAGCCGGCTACCTGTCAATGCTGCTAGGCAGCGACGCAAGCGGTTCCCACCCAGGAGGAGCTGCAAGCTTGCAAGCTCTTGATCGTGGCTTCTTGTCCGAGACGGCTCTGAAGTCCGTCGGCCCGTGCAGGTCTGCGTGCCGACACAGGAGATCTTTGCTGGCCCTCGCCCACGGACTCTGGAGGTCGGTGCAAGCTTGGGGCATCTTGGGGCGAGGCCCAGTGACCCAGTGTGCAGAATCCTGCCTGGCGCAGGACTGGGTGAATGTGGGACAGCAGGTCAAGCGCCGCTTGGATGGATCATTCCTCATGCTTTCGATGAAAACGGCCCTTTCGGACTGCAGGTCGTCGCAAGTCCGCTGTGAAGATGGCAGTCAAGGCACTCCATCAACTCGGACTGTCAGTCCGGAGTAATCGTGACTGCACCTTTGCGTCACCTTGCGAGAAGCAGTATGCTGTTTCACCAAGAAGCAGATTTGATCTCCAGCCCAGCCTTGGATCAAGCAAGACATCGGAGGGAAGCTCAGCCACCGCCCAAAGAAGCAGCTGCATATCCTTGACGCAGTTGAGCTGCGATAGTCCTCTGCTTTTGTTCTGTTTCCGAGAGGCGGAGTTTGCTGTCTGGGTGCAGTACCGTGCTGCGACTCGGACTCGGCCATGGCAGAAGCTCCCGGCGACCGTGTCCTCACCGAAACCAAGCACGCGCCCCACAACGCAGTGAAGGCAGAAAGCCTGTCAGTCTTCCTGGGCTCCCGATGCCTCCTGGCGACTCTCGGCAGAAGCCTCCTCCGGGGCTCAGGGCACGAGAAGGCTGAAAAAGTGTCCGCAAGTGTGTGAGCGCAAAAGCATGGACCTCTCTCAGGAACACGGAGCTGAAGATTGCCGAACGTCCTAGAAGCGGCACGAGCTACGGCCTAGTCGGCTGCAACGGATGTGGGAAGAGCACACTCCTACGGCTTATGGCGCAGAGGCCGAGAAGTGCTAGAAACCAAAGAACTGCCTGTGCCTGAAACGTCTACGAGGGAAGCTTCCCTGCAGGAAGCTGCCCATACCGGAGACTTGGGACGTCTTCCTTCTCGGACAGCACCTGTTACCCGCGAATGATCTTCCGGCAATTGAAGAGGCCCAACGACTGGAGTAAGCAAGTATAGAATTTATATGAATTTATCGGTATTGCTTTTCGATGCATCTAGTAACCTAGTAGTAAGTTCCACCCACGCATCCTGCCTCCCAAACTTTGGGTCAGGTCCTGAATGCCTGCCACAAGAGGAGCGGCTTGCTGGCAGAGGCAAAGCGGCTTGCCGCCTTGTTGGAGGCTCCCTGCTGGCTTAAACGACCCTCCGCCCACCCCCCCAAGCAAGAACTCCAAAGCCGTCCCATCCCTACGCCTCTGGACTGGCACCCCGAAACAAGAAGCCGCTGGGACGAATCCTGCTTTGGCGAGGCAGAGCCTGCGCCCGAGCCGCCTTTGCTCGGGGAGCTCTCACAGGCTCTGATGAAGGCGTCGAGTTTTTGGTGGTTTGGGGATTTGGGGGCATTGGTCGTAGGGTCTTAAGGGATCTGAATGGAACTGACGTTTTTGGGTTCGGCTTGAGTTGCTGAAGGCAAAGAGCGTTGAGAGTCCCTTAGCTTTAGAGTCTCTGCAAGCAATCTGAGCACCTTGAAGACACCCGAAATGCAGCAAGTGGGACATCAACGGGCCCTGTGCCCAGTGCACGTAGCACTCAACCCGCATGGGGAAGGGAGCTGAGCAATTGCCCTGGTCAGGTCCATGCAGACCTCGAAGAATGGCAGCGTGCTCCCTCGGAGGTTCTCCACATACTCCGGAATCTGGGATTCCAGGAGTCCGAGGCTTCGAAGTTTCAGGGACTTCTGAATGTCTCTCCTTGGCTTTCATTGTGTCTGGAGGCATCGGACTCCTGCCCTGCAGCCTCCACGCCGCTGAAGCAGCTCTCCGGGGGCTGGAGGATGAAGGCTTCGTCTCCTGGAGCTGAGGGGGAGATGTGGAGCTTTTCTTCCATCTTTGCCCCTGTGCAGGTGGAGTTGGCCAAGGCGAGACGCTGTGCGAATGTGCAGCAGGCCCTGGCAGCACACCTGGCAGTTTTTTCCGCGGAGAGGCATTGTGGCTTCGACCCAAGCTGCTACTCTTGGACGAGCCCACCAATCACCTGGACTCCTGCAGTCACGAATTCGAATCCCTGGTTGATGCCTCGCTTGCTAGAGCTTCGAGGATTTTCGGGCTCGTGAATGGCTCATTGAGCAAATCGCAGAGTATCCGCACACAGCCGTGGCTCCCTGGCTGGGATTGTGCTCAAGGCCTTGGAAAGCGGAGATGCTCTCTGTTGAAAGGTCGTCTCGCATGATGTGGCTTTTCTGCACGAGGTCTGCAAGGCCGGAGGGTCTGAAGTCTAAACGGCCTCGACCACTTGTGGAGTTTTGTATGCTCAAGGGAAGCTGCTGTCAGGACATCATTTGGATGACGGAGCAGAGGTGGGGACTGCAAGATGCACCCAAAAGCTGCGCCCAGAGCTTCGAGCTCCGACCCGAGGCTGGAGACCTTGCCTGGAAAGATCGTGTCACAAGAAGATTTGCTGCGAATGCAGCGCCGGAAGCCTCTCCGATTCGAGTTCCGGGTGCCCAGTGGTGAGGCGAGCTGGGCTGCAATCTGAAGCTTAGTATCATCACAAGGGGAGGGAAATCACTCCTGCGAAAGCGCTCCGGCAGATGCAAACCTCAAGCTTCGCAAGTCAGTCTGAGCGTCTCCAACAGAGAAGCCTCTAAGAGCCTCAGGGCTATGTGTGGGCGAACATACACCTTCTGAAGTCTGTGCAAGGACCCGGTCTCACAAGGAATTTCGCTGCACGATGTCGAGTTCACTTACGGTAGCCTGGCTGCAGTTTACCTTCTCGTATTGGAGCAAGGATCTGATCAGGAAGCCTGAACGCCAAGCATATTCTCAAGTCGGTGCTGCAGAGAGTGTGTTATCTGTGTGCGTACTCACGTGTGCATACAGGCGTGTATGTACGTCGGTCCATGACTCGGCATGTCTTACGGTGAACGAGTGAGGCTCGCAGAACTTTGGCTGAGGTGGATGTCCCGAGCCCTTGTCTCGTCGTCAGCTGGTCTGTCGGTCACCTCTCTTCTGCTTCACTTGTCGCGTCTCTTTGAGAACGATCCTCCTTTCCTTGACTGTCCGATTTGCCCTGCTTCACCTTTGGACTTCCTCGACTTACCTCCTTGGAAAATCCACGTTCCGTCTGTGCTGCTCGGGCTGGTTTTTGGACTTTTCTTGCTTCCAGCCCTCGAGCTGTTCCTGTGCCTACGTGGGTTGGTCTTAGTGCGGTTGGATAGATATATTAGGCCGCCTTTTCGGTATAGGATTCTAAGCGGGTGACCCGTGTATGAGCCTGGAGCTCCGTGTGCAGCATCTTGAGGAGTTGGTGGTGGAGCTTCGTGAGCAGGTCCGTGTGCTGCAAGCGCGCCTTGACGAGGCGAGCAGTCCTTCTTCCTTTGACCTCGTGCAGCAGCCCGCCGCGGCAGCTTCCCTAACCCCTGCGGTTGCTAGGTCCTCGGGTAGCCCTTTAGGCCCTAAAGCCGCGAGCCCGGCCGCTTCAGCACCCTGCCTCACCGCTTGGAATCCAGGCCCTTCCCCGCCTTCGCCAGACCGAGGAGTTGTGCCAGTGTCAGCTGCCGAGAGAGCAGCCGCGTGCAGAGAGATCGGGCTCTTCCTTCGCCGATCTCTCGACGGCGCTCGCCGAGGCGCGTCAGGAAGGGACAGGCTAGGCTTGCAGTCCAGGTACTGGATCGTTGTGCGAGATTTTAGCGGACAAGTGCTATCGCCCATCAGGTGTGTGCCGTAGTTTCGCAGAGTGCTCCGCCCTTTGCAAGAGGGGCCCCCTCTGTGGAGAGTCAATCTTCGTCGGGCTCCCTGCCCGCCAGGACATTATAAGTGTGTGTGCCGCTGCCAACCTCATCTTGCCTGACAGTTGGTGAGATGGAGGAGGAAGGGGATTTGCTGGACGGCGAGGCCCTTACCGCCCGTGACTGTGCGTGCGTGGGCGAAGGTTTCTTGGATCCCCTCGCTCCTCTGTGTGTTTTGGCTTGCGGAGAGGACGAGGAAGGTTTGCCTGTGACCGTACACTGCTTGGTCGCAGGCGACGTGCAAGGCAAATTGCTGATATGCCTACCGGCTGCTGCCTGGCACCGCAAAGTTGCAAAGCGCACCGTGCAGCGAGGTTTTCTCAGCAAGGTTATAGCAGCCGAAGTGGCCTCGGCTTCTATCGCCGACCGTGGTGCCGAAATTGCCGGTCAGGTGGTTCGGGTTTGGATGGGGTTTTGCGAAGGCGAGGCAGAGATGAGCGATGCCACGCCCTCGGTTCCATTCGGCGCCCTGCCCAATGGAGAGCTCCTTGTGCCCTTTGTGGAAGCTGTGGCTCTTTTGTGGCAACATCAAGTTGCCGGGGCCTTGTCCACTCCCGCGCAAACGGCCAACGAGGGCCCCGATGCTCAAGCAAGCTTGGCCGCTCGCATGGCACAACTCGAGCGTACGCTGGCTGCACTGGGAGGTCCTGCTGCCGCCGAGCAAAGGGCTTCTGCGGGCCGGCTGAAGGCCGAGCCGGCCCGCCCTTCGGCGACACAGCGCCGTTCTCCACTGGACGAGTCCGAGGACGAAGGCGACACTGCGGCTCCTTTGGCTGCTCTCGAGGAAGCAGCCCCCAACGTAGGAGCAGGACAACCTCAAGAACCAGCCGAGGCCTTTGCTCAGGCGATGGTCAGGTGCCTCGATGCCCTTCAGTCAAGGTCTGGGTCAAGCAAGCTGACCACGCTGGACCGAGCACTCGATGCCACAGGCGCTGGCTCGCTCGACGGCTCCCTGAACTCGGGAAGGAGGAACGCTGCAGCTCGAAAGGCCCTGCGGGATTCGCTTTTCACGTCCCCACTGGAGATAAGCAATCTCATAGAAACCTTGATGGCAGAGGACCTCAGCGCGAGTACACCCGGCGCTGGGTCGCCCGTCCTTACCTCAACGCGTGGCTGGCTAGAGCACCGAAGCCGGGTGCAAGCTTTTCCCACGATGGTTCACCTCACGTGGGCTATCGCTGGAGCCCTCGATTGCATCAGGTCAGGAAAGCCCGAGCAGGCGAGAGCAAGGTTGAACATAGCCCTGCTGCAGGCCGACCAGTGCTCCATAGGCAGAGGGAGCTGGCTTTTGGCTCAGGAGCTAAGCCTCGAGTTAGGCCCGCCGATGAGCAGCTTCCGCAAGCACAAAAACTCAAGCTCGTCAGGCGACCCTGCTTACAGCCGGCTGCTGGACCCCAGGTGGGCCGAGCTAGCCCTTTCGAAGTTGCGCGAGGAGGCCGAGTTCACAGACAGGCGGCA